CCCTTCCCTTCCCAGAGCCGTCTCCTCAGCCCACCGTCCCCACTGGAGGGGTCACAGCCATAGGAGTCACTGCTGCCGTCCTCAGTCTCCTGGTGGTCATTGCTGTGGTGGCTCTTGTGATGCGGAGGAGAAATAGGGCAGGTAAGAAAGGATCAGGGCTTAAGTGTTCGGGTTCAGGCCGCAGGGAGAAGTGCGCCCCCTCATGGTGAACACTGTCCACACAAAGAGGGACTCACCCAGCCCTTGGCCCAGGGACACTCACTCTTGCAAAGCACAAGGGACAGGAAGGACAGACTTGTCACCCAGGGGGCTGTGGTGATGGGGACCTGATTCCCAGCAATCATGGTCAAAGGGTAAGGTCCCTGCCAAGACAGAGCTCCAGGAGGGCAGTTGGCCCAGGTCCTGAACATGTCCTTTCCTCGTGCCTCCTGATGCTTCCCTCGGTCTGCATTCCAGATCTGGAAACTTCCCTGGGTCCAGGCCTGGGCAGTTTTTCCAGGGTGTCAAGGCCTGGCCTTCTCCCTGGCTTCTCACAGGACATTTGCTTCCCACAGGTGTAAAAGGAGGGGGCTACGCTCAGGCTGCAGGTAAGAAAGGGGGCTGATTCCTGAGAGCCTGGGGGTCCTGTAGTCGGGAGCCATGGGGGTCCCACCCCACAGTTCCTCCTGGAGCCCCGTGTCTTTGGCCGCTGACTGCATCTTGTTATGTTTTCTCCCCAGGCAATGACCATGCCCAGGGCTCTGACTCATCTCTTCTGACCTGAGAAGGTGAGACCCTGCAGGCCTGGAGTGGGAGAGGGGTGTGCAGGGGGCCAGCTGGGTTACACACTTTCTCTGATGTGCACCCTCTGAGGGAGCAGCCGGCTGCTCAGGGTTTGGCCGGTGATACCGAGGCCCTGAATGTGCTCGTGACTCTTCTGTGTTGTAGCAGGAGAGAGCTGCTGGCCGCAGGCTGAGTGCCGAGATTGTTGACTTGGAGAATCCTCGATGCTGTGTCTGCAGATGGCTTCTGACTGTGTCTTCCTATTGGCACAACGGAGGACCTTCCGAGATCAGCTCGCCCTGTCCCCACTGTCACCTGTGTCCCCCCCTGACCAACTTTCCTGTTTCAGAGGAGGCGGCTGTGACTCTGAATC